TATGATGCTACTACACTTTGCAAGCAACTAGGCTTTAAAAGCTATTCAATTTTTTCAGCATTGTAAGCAATTTATTTCTAAAGTATAGTTGTATGTCATGTTTATAGACCTAGTAACTCTAGTCAGCCTATATGGAGTGACAGTATGTACAGTACATCATATGACGTGTGTTATGGGTCAAGAAATGGCTGTCCAATGAATTCAGTCACTAACTGCTCTCATCTTAATGATTTGTTTTTGAAATGCAGTATGTTATGTAATTTATACCGACTGGTTTATGTTTGATTATATTTTTATGATTTATTAAATAGGTGACAGTTCTTCATTCTCTGTTGTGACCAATACAAAAGTAACATGTTCACAAGTATTAGGTTAGTTTATTAGATTGGTATTTGTGTGCGATGTTACTATAATTTGATGATAACTGCTATTAAAAGTCACTCTAACAGGACCAGCACCATTACAACACAATGTCCCAAACAACATAGTGACTTTAATCATTTTTATTTTTAGATGGTGTGCCTGATGCTGTTAATGGAGTAATTGTTTTGTCTCGAAACAATATATCATCAACTACTTATTACTATGGAACAATTAGGGTCTATTATAATGGATGGGGTAATATTTGTGATGACTACTTCTATGGTTATACTGAAGCTAATGTCATTTGTCATCAGTTGGGATACACTGGAGCTTCAAGCTACTCTAGAGCTGCTAGTGTCAGGTACTTTTTTATTTGTGGTTATATAGTCAGTCACTATTTATTTGCATATAGTTATGGTACAGACTATCTTTCTATGAAATGGGATGATGTTAACTGTGCCAGTAGCAGCTATTTATCCATTGCTCAATGTTCCTACTCTACTATCATTGAGAGTGGCTGTGTTAACAGTAACAGTTATGATGCTACTGTATACTGCTGTAAGATATATATTCAACCTATTTCTATGCACATGTTCAATGTATCATTATAGATACTACTAGAATCTGGAACAGTAGCCCATTCCCTGGTATGGTACGTCTTCAAGATGGAATTTATTCTAATGAAGGACGTGTTGAGGTTTATTGTAATGGACAGTGGGGGACAATATGCAGTGACGGGTTTGACTCTACTGATGCCAACACTCTCTGCAAGCAACTGGGATATGATGGTTATAACAGCTTTGATCACACCTCAAGGTCAGTTTTATTGATTTTAACATTGCCTTTTAAACTTCATTCTAGAATTAATAACACTATTCAGCCTATATGGAGCACCAACATGTATAGTACAGCAAGTCATAGGTGCTTTGGGTCTGGAAACTCTTGTCCATCAGCTTCAGTGACCAATTGCTCTCAGTTGAATGACGTTATACTTACATGCAGTTAGTAAAATAAGTTGTTGTTGCTTGAATTAAAGTAATACTTACTTAGGAGACATCTCATCTTCTTCCAGACAAACTGTTATTCAGTCATCTTGTTCTGGACTTACTTCAGGTCAGTCAATTCACTATCCTGATTGTGTAATAATAACTTTTTAAAATTAATTTAGACTCTGTATCTAATGGAGCAATTATTTTGTCTCGTAACAATTTACAATCACCTTATTATTATTATGGAACAATTAGAGTGTATTATAATGGATGGGGTAACATATGTGATGACTACTTCTATGGTTATGCTGAAGCTAATGTCATTTGTCATCAGTTGGGATATACTGGAGCTTCAAGCTACTCTAGAGCTGGACTAACAAGGTATTCGTTATTAATGATCATAATTACTGTTGTTGTGTAGTTATGGTACAGACTATTTTTCTATGAAATGGGATGATGTTAACTGTGTCAGTAGCAGCTATTTATCTATTGCTCAATGCACCTACTCTACTGTCATTGACAGTGGTTGTGTTAACAGTAACAGTTATGATGCTACTGTATACTGCTGTAAGATATTATTATATTTAAATTGTATTTAATAAATTAATTGTCACAGATACAACTAGGATCTGGAATAGTAATCCGTATGATGGTATGGTACGTCTTCAAAATGGTGATTATTCTAATGAAGGACTTGTTGAAGTGTATTGTAATGGACAGTGGGGGACAATATGCAGCACTGGATTTAGCACAAGTGATGCTAATACTATTTGTAGACAGCTTGGATATGACTCTGGTTTAAGAAGATATGATTCATTGTAAAATGATCTACATGTACTTTAAATAATGTTTAAACTCAATTCTTGTAGATATGGTAATACAAGTCAGCCTATCTGGAGTACTAACATGTACAGTACATCATATGCTACATGCTTTGGTTCAAGTAACAGTTGTCCTTCAAGTTCTATCACTAGTTGCTCTCACTTCAGTGATGTCTCAGTTACATGCAGTCAGTTGTATATGTACATGTATAATTAATATAGAATGGATATCATTCTAGGAGAAACATATTCTTATACTAGATATTCTACTACTTCGTCTACTTGTTCTGGATTATTGTCCAGTAAGTCTATTTATTGCTACTGCATAATAGTGCTCTTTTTAATCTGTAGATTCAAACTCTATATCTAATGGAGCAATTATATTGTCTCGTTACAATATTTCATCAAATTTATATTACTATGGAACAATTAGAGTCTATTATAATGGATGGGGTAACATTTGTGATGACTACTATTATAATTCAGCTGAAGCTAATGTCATTTGTCATCAGTTGGGATACACTGGATATTCAAGCTACTCTAGAGCTGGTAGTGTCAGGTACATTTTTATTTGTGGTTGTATAGTTAGTCGCTATTATTTTGCATGTAGTTATGGTACAGACTATCTTTCTATGAAATGGGATGATGTTAACTGTGCCAGTAGCAGCTATTTATCTATTGCTCAATGTACCTACTCTACTATCATTGACAGTGGTTGTGTTAACAGTAACAGTTATGATGCCACTGTATACTGCTGTAAGATATTCATTATATTAAGTACATGTTTTATGTATTGTCCCAGATACCACTAGGATCTGGAACAGTAATCCATATGATGGTATGGTACGTCTTCAAGATGGAGATTATTCTAATGAAGGACGTGTTGAGGTTTATTGTAATTACAGATACCACAAGGATCTGGAACAGTAATCCATATGATGGTATGGTACGTCTTCAAGATGGAGATTATTCTAATGAAGGACGTGTTGAGGTTTATTGTAATGGACAATGGGGAACAATATGCAGTGATGGTTTTGACTCTAATAATGCTAACACAATCTGCAAGCAACTGGGATATGATACATCATTAAGTTTTTATAATTTTTCACTGTATGCTAAAATTTAATAAAAGCTGGAGATATTTACTTAGTTTTTTTCTCCTTTTTTGTAGACAAGAGAATGTTAGGGACTGATACTAATCAAATGATAATTGATGATGTGAATTGTGCTAATAGCAACTATTTAACATTACTGCAATGCTCCTTCTCTACATATATTGATAGTGGGTGTACTAACAGCAATTCCTATGATGCTACGGTCTACTGCTGTAAGAAATATATGAA